AACGTCCGCGTCCCTCTTTTCCGGAGACAGCCCCCCCGCCCCCCGGGCTGAAGGCCCAGCGCGGAGCTGCTCTCTGAGGAGCAGATGACCTGCCTCGGCAATTACGCCACTTCCATCCCTGCAATGAGATCTGGCAGACAAGGAGTCCGCGGTGCATTGCAGCCTGGCCTCTGCAAGGCAGATAAAGACGAAGACAATATTGTTTCCGTTCACGGGCCCTGAGGATTTTTTTTTTAATTTTTTTTTTTGTTCTCTTTTGACTATGTTTAAAAATAAATATGAGGTCAAATCATAAAGCTATAGCGATATATATTTTTTTAATTTTTTTTTTTGTTCTCTTTTGACTATGTTTAAAAATAAATATGAGGTCAAATCATAAAGCTATAGCGATATATAGTTGTTTGTTTTGTTTAAAAAAAGACTATCTTCCTAATCTCTTTGACAAGTCTTACCACGGTAAGTGTGCAAACGCATTCTTAACTTGCTTTTTGTTTTGTTTAGTTTTTGTTCTGTGTCAAAGTACATGCATACCATATTGCTTATTCTCTATTAAAAAATAAAATTTGGGAGGACAAAATTACACGGGCGAAAGTGCTAGAAGGACGGAGTTCGACAGACAGGGCAAAATAACCAGCCTGATACAAAAATAACATAGTTGCCAACACGGGTCACGGCTTTCCCAAACCTTCAACCTGGTGGCCGTTTTTGTCCTGCTTTAAACCATCCCTGGGGGCGAATCTGCTCTACAGATTGACCTTCATTTGCATGGCTACTCCTCTGGGTCAAGAACTAGAACTCTACTGGGGAGGCGAGGGGTTTTTCGCCGAACTTCAATTCGCGAGGGGCTCGCGGGGAAGACGGATCGTTTGGTCCGCGCAGAGGCCCTTGGGGAGGGGGCTGTCCCTCCCCAAGGCCTCGTCCTGCTCCTCCTTCTCCCGGGTGGAACTGAGCGCGTGGGAATATGATCTACGGAAGGCAACTGGACATTCCCCCCTCCAATGCTCTGCTAAGGAACATCCTCCTTGGCCCCTGAGGTGCTGGCAACTATGTTCCCCAGAGATCAACGTGCGAGTGGAAAAGTTACACGTCTGATTCCAGGCTAGGCATCTTCTTATACACGCGTCTATTGCTGCAGGAATTTAACCCTCTAGGAGCCGAGCACACGCTATTCTGATCGGCAACGTAAGGCATCCCGTGCTCCGAAACACACACGTCGTTGTGGACCCGACCATCTCTGGAACAGTACGAGGCAGTCGATTTTATCGATGACCTGGAGAAACTATCGTAGGCCGACTGTCTGTGCGGGCCCGTGGGACTCGGCGCCCGGACCAGGTGCTGGTCGTCGCAATAAGAGTGCAGAAAAGGGTTCTCTGCCGAGCACTCGAGATACAGGGACTTGATCCTCTTACCGTCGTCCAACGTGCGCGTGAAGAGCGGGAGCTTGCCGCTCGAGTGTTTGCTCGGGGGAGCCCTGAACAGAGTGGCGTAAGGACCCCCTTCCAGCAGTCTCTCCTTCTCTTTCAGGCTGATGCTGCGGGCCGGCCTCCCCCCGTTGCCTTCCCGATGCTTACTGAAAATGTTGTCGAAAGAACGCTGCCTGCTGATCTGCGGCTTGCTCTTCCGGGGCGGCTGGGTCTTGCTCTCCTGGGCCCAGTCCTGCTGGCACGCTTCTTCCCGGGGCCCGGCGTCAGCAGGGCTCTGCAGCATCTGCCCCTCCTCGATGTCATAGAGACTGCCCATTCGCACGCAGGCCCCGCACCGGTAGGGTGACCGGCTCAAATAGTGCCCCGCGTAGCTGGGCAGGCTGGTCAGGCAGCTCCGGCAGTGGGTGGCCTTCTGCCGGTATCGCTCGTTGGCTTCTCCGTAGGCGACGTTCTTGTCTTTCGAGCCGTAGGGCTTTGCGTAGAGCTTGTACTGCCCGTTACTTGGAAGACTCTCCTTGTTTGGCATGGGAATCTGATTGCTTTGCTCAGGCACCCGGTAGTTGTCGTTGCGGTCCTGATAGAGGTTGGGAAACTCGCCCGCCGACTCGGGGAGGATGATGTTCTCCACATACTCAGGGGGAACATCTAGATGGAAACTGTGCTGTTTGTCTGCCTCAATGATGTAAATTTTGTCCCGGGGCAAAGACTGTTTGCTCTTCAGATAGGTCAGCTCGACCTCGCTGCAATCCTTTGGATATTTTGACGCAGGCCGTTTCTTAACGTTGTCCTTGGACTTGAGGGATTTGCTGTTACTCTCTCCCTCTGCGTGGCCGGTGGCTCTGCTCGAAGAATCTGAGATGTCCGAGTGAACGTCTTCGGGGAGGTACCGGGGGCCTTTCAAGGAATGCCGCCGGCTTCCCCCCGTGCCGTTGTCCCTCTGAGAGCTGTGACTCTGCCGGAGGGACTCTTGGCGCAGCGATTCAAGCGACTTCCTCCACAGCTGCCTCGGGCGCGAGTTCTCCTTGGCCTCTGTGGCCACGGCCACCTCCACTGTGTTCGGGTTGGACTCGTGGAGCGTGAGCGGGTGTGGCCCTTGGAAGACATAGTTGTTGAGATTGTCTTGGTGGCGGTTACCAGCGAAGGTCTGCAGCTCACTCGTGTTGTCACTGAAAACATTCTCCTTGGGGGTAAGAGGGCGGCTGTTGTCCGAGAAGATGAAACTCCCCTTATCCATCATCAGGTCCATCATCAAAGATCCCCGGCGGATGAACTCAGCTGCTCTTTGCGGGGAACTGATCCGCCCAGGGTTCACATTGGTCATGTTTTTGGCCGTCTGCAAAAGCTTCAACATGTTGCTCTGAGAACTTGTCAGAGTGAAGTGGGGAGACTTTTTCTTCTCCTCAATGTGGACTCCATGAATGCAACTGTAAATACCCTGCAGAGGAAGCAACAAAAAAACAGATTGTGGGTCAAGTCCCCAATTCTTTGAGGGAATTAAGGGCAAACACTTCATACATGGCATCGTTGGGAGCATCACATTAATTTCATGCGCAGTCTGGAGTTTTAATAGCACGAGGAAGAACGGTATTTGTATAAGCTGGGTAGAGAATTTTTATTATGGGGAGGACTCAACCTAGAATAAACTGACTCTTCACAATGACCATCCACCAAGACAGTGGTGGAAATCAAGTACCATTAGATGAAGAGTCCAAAAGGTAAGATGGAAAGATAGATCTGTTACACCATACTGTCCGTCTTCAAGAACTTCTGAGTAGTAACACTCAGTACAGACTCAGAAGTAACTAACTACATAACTACAACTGCTGCTCCTAACTAACCATGGGGGTTTCTGGGCAGTTTGTGAGCTTGGCCACCACTCGCATCAGAGAGCCAGGCTGAGCAGGCGGGATGAATCCAGAAAGCCACTCGCCATGCAGGTGCTGGCTGCGTCCTAAGATGTTCTTCAAAGCATCAGAAAAGGGGTATTCTGTCTGAGTGATACAATTCTTGAAGTCTTCCTTCCTTGTTCTCAGATAATTAGGTCTATAGCTCAGTAGTTCCATCCAATTATTTCTGTATAATTTTGACAAGAACAGAACTGCAGAGTCAATTAGCTAATTAAAGAACACCAACCCGACCACCACTGCAAAGTTTAAGCCGATTTACAACTTGCATTTAAATAAACTTATTTGGAAATAAAAATCCACTGGTGACAGTATTAAAAACAAAAATAAAAAAACCAACAACTGGTTTGAATTCTCATGGACAAGCAACTTCATTTAGAGTGCTAATTACAGTTACTGAAGCAGCCTAATTAATTGGGAAGATGTGCCCAAGATGTTCTGCTACTGAATTCATGAACATTCAAGACAAACTAGATTCTGGAATAGAATGGGGGCTACTGTGGGCCTCTATAAGGCTCTTCCCTTGTAATCTTCTCCCTCCTCTCCCAACACCCCGATGGCTGAGACACCTCCCAGATTGGTCTTTTTCAGTTTTTTTGTGGAACGCCCCAAAAAAGGTCCTGCCTGCTCCTGTTGTGCTGATTTCTCTATTTTCCAGAATCACTTGAACCTGGTAGGGATGAGCTTGCTCAACGTCCTTGCTCCATATTCTTCAACAACCACCCAGAGTGGCTGGGAGCGGGTGCCATATAAATTATCATCATCATCATCGTCTTCACCATCTGGAGTAGAGAAGCCCTTAACAAACCCTCCTCGGCTGCTCCCGCTGCGTTTGTAAGCAAAGGCCCACAGACTCCCTGCTCAGGCCTGGGAAGCCGCCCCATCCTCCTCTGGATCCTGACCATTAACGGGTATCATTAACGTCCAAGGCGATACTGACCCTGCTGATGGAGAACAGCAGCCCCGGCCGATCCGAGCACATCCCGGTGAAGCAGAATCGGAGCTTCCAGTAAAACAAGTGCTCCCACACGAAGGTGATCAGGCTGAGGGCCATGGCGGCGGCCAGCATGTAAAACACGCCGGCCATGTTGTCAATGTCCAGCTGACTACTCATGACCTCGTTCTTCTCGTTGTGGCAAATGCCCGTCAGCCACAGGGTCTCCAGCTCTTCCATTTCCCCTAGAAAGAAATGCCAGGGAAGGTCAGAGAGCCGGGCATCGAAAGCGAGATGACATCAGGGGCGAAAGTCACCCCCATGCCACGTGCATGGCATGGTGAAGTTGTGCTTTAAAGGGCGGTGGAGCTAAAACATCCCCGGAGAAACAGCCCGGTTCCTTGTTGCACGTGAAAGGAGGCCCCTCGCTTGAAGATCTGCAGCCAGTAGGAGAGCTTCGTCCTTCTTCCTTAATCTCCTCCCTGAGTTAATGCGTGAGCTGACTTCTGCTCTCCCTTCCACGTTGGGTTAGAAAGCCAGGGTGAAGCAGAAGAATAAAACCCCAAATACTAAAACACTCCAATACAATTCAACAGCTCTTCAGTAATGTTATAATACGGAGTCGATTCAAGCATTATGAAAACACAGCAGCAAATAATAATTGCACTCGCCCCACCCCACATTTCACAGAATTTGAATCACCCCACATTTCACATTCCACCTGTTATTACCCGCAGCCGGCTCAACTCGGCCACCCAGCGTGACCTGAATAACAGCTGAGCATTGCACGCACATTTGAATTAGCTCGCACGTCTGCTTGCAACCGTTTCCCCAGCCTTTGGCGTGGGGCACCCCACACCCACATGAACGAGGCTTAGTCGCAACGACTCTTTAGGGAGACCCTGCCACAGTACGTCCCCCCCCTCCTGACACAGACTTTTTTTTTTCAAGGAGAGACAAAGGAACTCCTCGCAGCCAAGCTGGAATGCTGGAGGGTATGCAATTATTATGGAATAAAAGAACACGTGCCTACCCCGAAACTGATATTCTCTTCTTTTTGCCCTTTTTTAAGCAAAGAAAGCGGGTGGTTTTGTTGTCATTTCTCAACTGGGAAAAAAGGGTCGCTTCTTGTGAGATGGGCAGCCATTTAAATTTGATAAATAAATCAAATAAATAAATAAAAGGACCTATCAAAACTGGCTGAGGAAAGAGGGATTCTCTCCCTTTGCAACAAGGCCAATGTGATGAGAGTAGCCAAAGGCTATTAAATACCTGACAAGAAGCAAGTATTTTCAGTTGGCAGGAGAGGAAAGAAAAGCCTGCAAGATACAGAGGATCAGCACCCCCAAATCATGCTTTCAATGTTGGTGAGTGCCAGAATGCTTCCCACGAGGGGCAGGGTCAAATTAAGAAAAAGCCCCTTGACCGAGAGCAAAATTAAATTAAATTAAAAATCCTGCTGCTTCTCTTTGCCTTGACCTTGGAGAACTCTCAAAAGAAGGCTTTTATTTGGTGTTTCCACTTTTCTTTCCCACCAGAGCAATTAAATATTTCCAAAGTCTCACTGGTGGGTCCCCCTTCCTGATCTTGTCCACACAGAGGAGACTAAGTGGGGCTGTGGGGGGTGGGGTGAAACTGGAGGGCAGCTGGATGGTTGGGTTTGTGTAGATGTTCAGACTCAGTTCTCCAAGTATGCAGCTTTCAGTCACGTCTTGCATCATGTCCATAAGCGACATCCAGCAGAGAAAATCAAGATCGGCAGAGTCAGAGTCAAAGAGCCAACAGAGCATCTTCACCACTGAGAGCGCCAGATCCAACCCGCCACAATGGAGTTGGAAAAAATCTCCATAAAACCAAAGAGGGGTAGCCATGATGAAAACTTTTAAGAACCTGCAACCTATTCGTATCTCTGATGGTAGCTGTTAACAAAGGCCTGGCCAATCTTGGCTGGTCTCAAAAGGGCTGCTGAGTGCTTGGATGGAGGTCTAGGGAGCCTCAAGGGCGGGGAGTCAACAAGTCCCATTGGGAAGAAGACCGAGGGAAGCCACTCCCCTACTCTTGACAAGGCAGTGCCCTACACCTGTCCAGGAATCAACCTTGGTTCAAGGATTGCAAAGGGCTGGAACTGGTCCTGCCCTCGGACTCTGATTGCAATCATCCTCACAGCAAGGAGGATGTGCTGATGAGAGTCTGCCTTGCACCCACCAGGCCCTTCCAGTTGGCAATCTCCCCACCCCTCAGCAGATCTTGCTATCCTAGACAGTGTTTCTGAAGGTTGTTTGGGGCTGGAAGCTGCTCCCTACCGGACAGAGCCAAATCCTAAGAAGGTCCCCCAGCTGGCTCCAACATCCGGTCCTCCATAAGGGCTGACCACCAACATCACAGAGGGAGAGGAAGGCAGTCGCTCTTCCTCATCCTCTCTCACTGCCCAGGAGTTGGTCCACCTGGAAGGCCTGAGGGAGTAAGCACCATCTGGGCTAGGGGCTCTCTAGATTCGCCCAGTTGCTTCAAGCCATCTTCATCATGGCCACCTTGGGGACCAGCAAATGCCAAGACTGAACCGGGCATCGTGCACAGAAGTCCTCCCTTCTCCTCCTGACTCCAAAGAAGGTGCCTCCCTGAGGAACAGCTGGCGGGGAAGGCCGTCCTGCCACTCACCGTCTCCTACAAACTGCAGCAGCGCCAGATCGATGGCCCTCTTCCAGGGTGACCCCTTCTGCAGAGCAATGCCATAGCCCGTCGTGGCAAAGATGTAGCCACTGCCGATGGTCACCAGCTTGCAGCCTTCGTCCCGCCCGGCCTTGTAGTTCAGCACTGCTGCGTCGTAGATGAAAGCGTCCAGCTTCCTGGAACACACAGAAAGGGAGGCTCACCACTGGACGGAAAGAAGACACGGCTCCACGTCTGGCCACTACCGCACCGTGCCTTGGCCGACATCCGCAATCCATCACGGGGCTGGAAAATAAGAGTTCGGTGACAGGCCTGCAGCACCGAACTCTCTTTATGAAAAAAAGGTACTAAACGAGAGAGCGAGAACAGACCCTCAGTACAATCCCCAGGTTCGTCACGCATTCTTTACACAGATTTTCAAACACGTGTCAACCCAGGTCCATCCCTAATGGTTTGTTCTGCAGGTTCACGAAGGGAGAAAGGCCGCCTTAGAGGGCAGCAGCGCCCGGCACAGCAGAGCTCCAGGCCTTTGGGCGGTCGGCCCCGAGGCGTGTCCCTCCTCCACCCTCTCCTGTTGTGCAGGTCCCCATTCCGGGATTTCCCAGGTCCGTGAGATCTCACACACGCTGGGCTTTGAAAGCAAGATCTACCCCTGAAGGCCAAGGCGGAACATCGTCTGCCAGAATTCACCTCCTTCCTTCAGCAAAGCTCCTCAAGACTTCCTAGCCGTGATGAGGAGGAAGCCTAGATAAATGGAGGGAGAGTTGTTACTGCAGAGAATAGCCACAGAGTAATCTCCTCCTTCTCCTCTCAATCTATACGGACATAGACCAGCTAATCATAATCTCCTTCTCCTTCTCCTTCCTTCTTTTTCCTTCCTATCTCGCTACCTTCCTTCTCCTTCTCCTTCTCCTTCCTTCCTATCTTCCTACCTTCCTTCTCCATCTCCTTCTCCTTCCTTCTCTTTCCTTCCTATCTCACTACCTTCCTTCTCCTTCTCCTTCTCCTTCTCCTTCTCCTTGATTGAAACATTTTCTTTCAGATTGCTCCTTTAAATAATTTACAGTGGCGGCACCTTGCCCAATCTGAAAAAACTACATAGGCTTGACCTGATTAGTGCTTAGATGGGGGACCACCAGGAAATGTCACCGATGGAAGTAAGGATATCCCAGAAGGTGGCTGTAGCAATCCAGTGTGACAATAAAGCTATCCTGGCCATGCACAAAGCGTGATTTTCAGAGAAGAGCCTCATCGGATGAAACAGGGATTGCATGGCAATGTACAATCGGGGCGACCATTTGAGGATTTTTTCCCCTGATTTTAAGGGTTGGTTTTTGTTTGTTTGTTTTCAAAACCTGCAGGCTGCCCTTCAGAGCCAAGTTTCTCCAAGGCAATTAGCTTACGACACACTGGATTCACCGGACGAAATTATGAACCATCAAAATGCATAATAAAACATGGTAATTAATACATCACTTTTGAAACGGGAGCGGCACAATCCTGGGTGGGTCCTGATGCGCCCCCCAGGCCGAGGGGCAAACCGCTAAGCGACTTTGGTGCATTGCTATGCCAGGCAAATCCTCCCCCCCCCCCCAAACACAGGGGCTTGGCTTCTTTCAGGGACAAAGCTGGTCGTGCTGCAGCAGGAATCAAGGCTGGTCCTTCAGAAGCGTGAGACTGGAAGGTCCTGAGCACACGCTGCTTGTGTGATCTATAAATATTGCCTGAAGAATCCTCCTGCAATCTATCTTCCCCACCAAGGGCTTTTCTTATGCCTGATCTATCGATCTGGACTCATTCTGTCTAACATAACGAAGTAGATGGTATTGAAATAATTTTCCGACCACAGGTGACAAATGGTCACCGTGTTTTCCTCCCCCGATCCTGATCTACACAGCATTTGCAGCTACGTTCTTGCAGCATTAAATAAGGAGCTCTCTGCTGGATCACAGCACAGGCCAACCCCGTTCGGCGTGTTTCGCTTCCCCCTGCGCCCAAACAGATCAAAGCGGGGGGCAAACCCCTCTCCCCCGCACGTCTTCAACATCTGAAACTCAGAAGCACGCTGCCTCTGGGCATGGAGGTTCCATTGATGGAAAATGCCACTGGCAGACCTTTCTTCCTCCATGGACTTGTCTAACTCTTACATAAAGCTCTCTAAGTGAACTTCATGGGCTGCTCACGTGTGGCGTGACAGTCTTTTGTCTGCAGAACCTGCTCCCAGCTCAGCTTCCTTGGATCACAGCTCTTGCAAGCACAGCTTTTTGCTCTCCAGCCCAATGCCCTCCAGCTGTGCCCCTCCAGAGAGCAGCTTTTTCCTTCCATGGGGGTCATCACGCTACAGATAGTCCTTGCTTAATGACTGCCTCGTACAGCAACCGTTTGCTGTGGTGATGGGGATTAAAAAGTCACTTTGCGACCAGTCCTCGCGTTTACAACCTTCGCAGGTCTGAAAAGCAAAGGAAAGCTGAAGGAAGATCGTAAGCACGGTTGGGGTTTCACTTAGTGACTGCCTTGCTTAACGACCAAGTTGCTGGTCCCAATTGTGGTCGCTAAATGAGGACCACCTGTATTTCATCATCCACTTTTTTCAATACAATAAAAATAGTATTGTGTGGTATTGATTTTGATTGCCATCCTACATATATTCTGATACGGGGTCGCTGGGGGTGTGGGGGAGGAAGATATATTATGGGGTATTGCTTTTAAATCTAGGTTGCACAACCTGAGTCACGTGCCTGGGGTGGTCAAAAAGTTCTGTTAATAAATACATCAATATTGTTTTATCAGACCTTTGCTGGATTTTAGTAATTCATTCCTTTCTTTAAAACAATGCTGGCCTTTGTCTCTGCTCTGTTGTCATTTTATTACCTTGTATTTTTTCTTCTCTGTGCACCTCACTGTGGGCTCTGGGGGGCCAAATGTGATTTACAATTACTTCTGTGAATAATAACCAAAACATGCCTTCTAGATGTCCCGTAGCATAAAATAAAATACTATCTTCAGCCACCCTTCCCCAGAGAGCCACCTCCCGATAGGCCAAACTAGATTGCCATAACCCCAGGGTGTGCTTGGGCTGGGGACGATGGCAGGAACGCTTCCCCCCCAACCGCACAGGCACTATTTTTTAGTTACCATGTCCATAACTCAAAATAGACGGCGCCCTGTCAGTTGCACGGAGCTTCATTTTTCAGCCATAGAACAGTCATAACGCCCTTAACGACACTTGACAGCGAATAAAACACAAATGTGAATTTCCATTAAAGCCGGGGGGGGACAGGCACAGAGTTTCCCCTCGCAAGCCCCGGAAAGGAGAGACAAGAGGGGCCCCGCCGCCCCCTCGGCTGAATCGGGCATCACGCGGCGTTGATGCGCAGCGCATTTCGAACAGAGGAAAGAAGCTGTTAATTGGCTGAACTCAGGAACCATCAGGTATCTAAGCTGGAGGAATTATGCCATCTAAATGAAACCTCCAGGACCAGAGGCAGTCTATCCTCAAGTGCCAGCTGCTGGGAGCAACCCAGGGATGGAGCTCTTGTCTTCTGCCCTGCCCGTGTGTCTTGCCAGCTCAGCCTGGTGGTCTCAGACAAGGAAAGGGGTGGGACTGTGAGTCCTCATCTGCTGAAGGGCCACAGTCAAAACAGGAATAACCCCCCCCCGGGTTAAGTTCCCAGTTGAAAACAGCTGC